AAAAAAAAAAGAAGAAAAATGTAGTTTATCTTGTCTTTCTAAAAATGTTTACAATGAATATAAATTGTGTTAACAAGAAAAGTTGTCTTTTAAGGGGAAAAAGAAGAGGAAGGGAGAAGCTAGGCCCTGAGAAGCTGCCAGTGGGGGTGGGGCAGGTGGCCCCGAGGAGAAGTCCCGTAGGCAGGCTGGGTGTGGGAGCAGGACAGGGAGGGGGCTCAGGCCTGCTGGAAGGATGCAGATGGTGGCCCTCCAGGATGGAGAGCAAACAGACTGGGAAGGCCCCGAACCCTGGTTCTTTGGCCAGGTTATGCCTCATCCAATCTAAACATCCCAGAGGACATCTGGAAGGCCGTTCCCTACAGCCCTTTCTTCTGGCTTCTGAGTACCCCAATCCTTCTTGCCTTTCTAGCAGAAGCCTTCAATCTGCCCGCTACGGGAAGCTTTCCTTCTCCCCTGCCCTCCCCCGTCACCAGTACCTTCTGATCTTTGCAAGTCGTGGCTTGGAAAGCAGTGGCTGCTGTAGGGATCTGTTCACATCTACATCTTGAGTCCCTGAGCAAACCCTCCTTTCCTCGAAGACTGGGACCTTTGTCATCTCCCCCTACCTGGGTGTAGCCCAAAAGCTACCTAAGGCCCAGTCAAGACCTTGTGCTGTGATAGCCCCGCTGGGGCAGGGTGCACACGTACCAGCTGCTTGCCTGTCTCGAGGTCCCAGGTCTGCACTACTTTGTCATAGGATGAAGCAATAATCCTGGAAATAAATCAACAAACATTGGGTGTTAACGACGGGAACTATCATGCTTGTGGTTTCTAGGAGGACTTCTTCTTCTTTTTATAATTTGGGACAGAGGGCATGAGCCTGCTGAGAGCACATCTCATAAAACAGAGTCCCTGGTACCTACAGCACCACTATCGTCCTGAGTCCTGAAGCCACCCAAATATGCTTTAAAAGTATCATTTTTGTGTTTGTTTATTCCGTAATTTACTTTCTTCTTTCAAAGAGATCTCTGTAACTCGCAAGGATCCATGCCTTCCCTCTCTGCTCTTAAGGCTCTTTCTGCAGGAAAATGCTTTAATACATTGCTCATTTTGTTCTTTTCTTACGCATTTAGCAAAAATATATAAATGTGTTCTCATCTTCTCATATTGTATGTTTCTGTAGCAAGTTTGTCCTCTATATAAGTGGTCCCAATGGATCAATGAAGGTTAAATTCTGCCAGGTGCAGTGGCTCGCCCCTGTAATCCCAGCACTTAGAGAGACCAAGGCAGGTGGATCGCTTGAGCTCAGGAGTTTGAGACCAGCCCCAGCAAGAGACCTCGTCTCTACTAAAAATAGAAAAACTAGCCAGGTATTGTGGCAGGTGCCTGTAGTCCCTGCTACTTGGGAAGCCAAGCAGGAGGATTGCTTGAGTCCAAGAGTTTGAGGTTGCTGTGAGCTATGACACCCCATGGCACTCTACCTCAGGGCCACAGAGTGAGACTCCGTCTCCAAAAAAAAAAAAAGACATTAAATTCCCACACTAAGTTGGGGTTTGTTTTTATTTTTTGATGTGGGGACCATGTCTCTGTTGTCACTCTGGCTAGAGCACTGCAGCCTTGGATTTTGGGGCTCAAGTGATCCTCTTGCCTTAGCCTCCCTAGCAGCTAGGACTACTGTCGTATGCCACCACACCCCACTAATTTTTCTATATTTTATAGAGACAAGTTCTCCTTGTGTCGCCCTTGTGTTGTAGGCGGGTCACAAACTCCTAACTGGAAGGGGTATTCCTGCCTCCGCCTCCCAAAGAGCTGAGATTATAAGCAGGAGCCACTGTGCCCAGCCCCCATACCAGTTGAAGGTAAAAGTAAATCCATTTTCTTCTTCTTCTTCTTTTTTTGAGACAAACTCTCACTGTGTTGTCCTGGGTAGAGTCCCATGACATCACCCTAAGTCTCAGTAACTTCAAACTCTTGGGTTCAAGTGATCCTTTTGCTTGAGCCTCCTGAGTAGCTGAGACTACAGGCACCCACCACAACGCCCAGCTAGTTTTTCTATTTTTAGTGGAGACAGGGTCTCACTCTTGCTCAGGCTGGTCTCGAACTCCTGAGCTCAAGCAGTCCACCCACCTCAGCCTCCCAGGGTGCTAGGATTACAGGTGTGGCCCATGCCCAGCCATAAATCCATTTTAAAGCAAATTTCCTGTCTGTTAAAGGCCCATCTCATGTCTGGGTGAGTGGATTTGAGCAAACAACTTGGAAGCCATTCTGGTATATTGCTGCCCCTGAGCCCTCTCCTAGTGGCCGCTCAGTCAAGCCTCTGCGTCCCAGGCCTCCATTTCCACTGTGAAATGAAGCCTTGAATTGCTAAGGACGAAATTGCTAAGGTCCTTTGAGCTACAACAGTCTACATGAGACTATGGAATAGAAGCTCCACAAACAAAATTCAGCCTGGCTTTTTTCTTTTAAACACTTTCAGTTTTCCAAGCGTTATTGTATCTGCTTGAGTCTCACAGAAAAAAATAAATAAATAAACAAAAAAACAGGAATATATGAAAATATAATTGTATATTTGCTTTAGACGCTCAAAAATCAAACGAAATAAAGCAAAACACGATGGCAGACACGGCTGTGCACCGGCCTGCCTGCTCACTCCCGCTTTCCCCAGCAGCGTTCCCCCAGGTACAGTCACCTTCTGCTGTCGGCCGTGAGGCTGCACTCTAAAATGGGAGCCTGGGGCTGGGGCTCGAAATCGCGAATCAGAGATCCATCAGCAGCATCCTCAAATCAACGGAAGAGAGAGAGAGAGAGTGGTCACTGCCCCATTTGCTGAAGTTGTGGGCCAAGGTCAACATCAGCCCTTAACTTGTCTCCGGCAGCAGAGTACAAGAAGCCTAAGGTCTAATGATTCACCATAAAGGGTGAAGGGACTTTCCAACACCTCTCCCCGGAGCGGGGAGGACCCCGTAGCCACGCACAGCCTCCACGGGAAACTCTCCACAATTCCACAGGCACCAGATGGAAACTGGTCGCTCTGGGACCAGAACTATAAACATATTTTTATGGGTTTTTTTCTTTTTGTTTGTTTTTTTAGAGACAGGGTTTTGCTACGTTGCCCAGGCTAGATTCAAATTCCTGGGCTCAAGGGATCCTCCCACCACAGGCTCCCAAGGAGCTGGGACAATGCCACCATGCCCCAAACAGATCATTTTTTTCCTTCTCTACTGGCCAAACAGTCTTTTAGAATCTAGCAACATCTTTCAAGACCTTTTTAAAAGCTCACATCCTTTCACCTAACAGTTCTACTCTGAAGGAGTCTCTCCAAAGGAAATGACCAGAATTGTAATCAAAGACTTGTGCACAGCCTAATTTTTCTCAACACACCTTTAAAGGTTTTTAAATTGTTTCATATATGGTCAAGTTGAGATTTTTAAGAACTTTATTTTTAATTTGTAAAAATTGGGGGCTCTACCCACTGAACCACAGGCACCTCCCCCATATACAGAGGGTGGCAGGTTCAAGCCCAGCCCCAGCCAAACGGCAACGAAAAAATAGCCAGGTGTTGTGGTGGGCACCTGTGGTCCCAGCTACTTGGGAGGCTGAGGCAAGAGAATCACCTAAGCCCAGGAATTGGAGGTTGCTGTGAGCAGTGTGATGCTACAGCACCCTACCCAGGCGACAAAGTGAGACTCTGCCTCTTAAAAAAAAAAAAGTTTACAACTTGATTTTTTTCAAAAAAAGTCAACAAACTGCAAGCATCTGTTAATAAAGGTCTTAAATAACCAGTTTGATGTAAGCATTCCAAATTGTATATAAAATCAGCACATTATACCCCATAAATGCATTAATGTATGCATGATTTACATATTTATGACTTAATTTTAAAAAATTAAAAGATCTTAAATAAAAATAATAATAAAAGACTTATGCATGAAAAGGGTCATTGTGCATTATAGGTGATGCCAAAAACAGCGGTAATGGTGTAGGTGTCCACCAAAAGGGGGATGTTAGCCCAAGCTGGAGCTCGCCAGCACTGGGGCACCAGGTCCCGGCCAACAGCCATGCTGAAGGTCAGTATGGAAGGGATGTGATAAGAGCAGAGCAAAGTGTTAAAGCAGAGAGCACCCGTGGTGGCAAAGATTAAATATTTGTAGTAAGAAACGTGCTAACAGCTTTTCAGGACAGGCAGGGTTGGAAGTTCTCTTAAAACAAGTGTCACTGGTAAGACAACGAATTACTAGGTCAGGCGCAGTGGCTCAGACCTGTAATCCTAGCACTCTGGGAGGCTGAGGCAGAAGCATCCCTCAAGCTCAGAAGTACCAGACCAGCCTGAGGAGGAGCGAGACCCCATCTCTACTAAAAATAGAAAAACTACCCACGTGTTGTGGCAGGTGTCCGTAGTCCCAGCTACTTGGGAAGCTGAGGCAAGGGGATCGCTTGAACCCAGGAGTTTGAGGTTGCTTTGAGCTATGATGCCACAGCATTCTACCAAGGGTGACAGAGTGAGATGATGGATGGATGGAAGGAAGGAAGAAAGAAAGGAAGGATGGTGCCCAAGCTCAGTGGGTAGGGTGCCGGCCACATACACCAAGGCTGGTGGGTTCAAACTGGCCCAGGCCAGCTAAAACAACAAAGACAACTGCAACAAAAAATAGCCAGGCATTGGGCGGCGCCTGTGGCTCAGTGCGTGGGGCGCCGGCCCCATATACCAAGGATGGCAGGTTCAAACCCAGGCTGAACTGCAACAGAAAAATAGCCAGGCATTGTGGCGGGCACCTGTAGTCCCAGCTACTTGGGAGACTGAGGCAGGAGAGTCGCCTGAACCCAGGAGTTGGAGGTTGCTGTGAGCAATGTGACACCACAGCACTCTACCAAGGGCATTAGAGTGAGACTCTGTCTCTAAAAAAAATAATAATAAATAAATAAAAAGAAAAGAAAATAGCCAGGTGTTGTGAAGGGCGCCTGTAGTCCCAGCTACTTGGGAGGCTGAGGCAAGAGAATTACTTGAGCCAAAAGTTTGAGGTTGCTGTGAGCTGTGACACCACAGCACTCTACCCATGGTGACAGCTTGAGATGGAAAGGGAAGGGAAGGGTAGGAAGGGCAAGGTAGTGCCCGTAGCTCAGTGGATAGGGTGCCAGCCACATACACCAAGGCTGGTGGGTTTGAACCCGGCCCAGGACAGCTAAAACAACAACAACAACAACAACAAAAATAGCCGGGCATTATGGCAGGTGCCTGTAGTCCCAGCTATTTGGGAGGCTGAGGCAAGACAATCACTTAAGCCCAAGAGTTTGAGGTTGCTGTGAGCTGTGATGCCATGGCACTCTACCCAGGGCAACAGCTTGGGACTTTGTCTCAAAAAAGAAAAAGAAAGGGAAAGGAAGAAAGAGAGAGAGAGAGAAAGAATTACTGGAGAGTCTCATGTTATTCTGTAACACTGTGTTGTAATGGAGCTTTCAGCCTGACAATGGCCCCTGATATGCAGAGACTACATTGCATTAGGACTTCAGGACTTGGCAAGAGGCAAAGGACCCTATGTCAGAGGTCTCTAAGATCATCCCCAGGTTTGGATGCACTGGACTCCCCATACAGCGGTGTTCACAGTGAGAGGACACAAGTAAAACCAGCAAAGGGAACAGCGCCTGGGGTACAGTCCAGCGGAAAGTGGGAACAGGCTTCCAAGCTTCTTCTCCCATATAGTTGCTCAAGAAGTGCTTAACTGTAACAATACATGTGAAATGATCGGCCTCAGTCCCCAGGGTTTATACTGGGGCTGGTCTTGTAGGCACCATCTGCCTGATGTGCACCAAAATTCCAAACTCCTCGAAGGAAATCCGTTTGCATAAACAGTTGAGGCAGTGTCAGCCACCCTTATGACCTAGAGAAAGTCTCACAGCATTTACAGGAACTGCTTACTACTCAAGTCCCCAGATGCAAGCCAAGAGCAGCATTGCTAGCAGGCCTTTCTAAAGACAGCAGTCCCAGACCTCCTATGTAAACTCTCTTCTGCATAGACCCGGACCCCTAACTCCTGCCCCATAAAACTTGAAACAAAGGGGTCATGTTTGGGTGAACCCAGCAGGCTCTGCTCAAAGTTTCGTTGTAGTAAAGACAGCAGAGATCCCAAAAAGGAATTCACCAGGGCAAGACATTTCTAGGCTGGTGGCCTGGGTTCAAGAGTCTAATAGCCTGGGAAGAAAGGGCTGCTTCTGACAGCCTGGGATCCAGCCTCCCTGCCTGGTTCATATGTTGCTCCAGGGAAAAAAACATGCAACTAGGAGCTGAGAAAATTATTACCTTGGGGCCTAAAACCAAGGCCCATGCCATCGGGACAGGGGCCCGGGACCAGTTAGGGGCAGCAGGAGTGTGAACCGTTGTCCCCAGGGCTGCGCAGGTTCATTACTCAATAGTGACACCACATGGCAAGAGAAGGAACAGCAACCATGGACAGAGGCTGGCTTCCTCTTCACTTGTCATTTGGAAGCAGGACCCCACCGCTCTGGACCCAAACAACTTAAGGGGGAATATTGGTCAGACTGTTAATGAATGAGGAGGTAGAGTCTCTGATAAGTTGGAAAAATAAAGAAGATGTGATAGTATTTGTAACCAAAGTTTATTATGTTTACATATTCAGCATGTCATATGGTCCTAATTTCATAAACATATGCATATGTGCAGGTACAAGAAAAAAAATCTATACACTCCATTTCCACAGCATTACCTCTGGGGCCATGGAATGATGAGGTTTCTCTTCCTTCTATATGTTTTCATGTATTTCCTGTAAATCATATTACTTTTGTAATATGAGAAAAATTACCAAACTTACTTTTATTTATTTACTTTTTCGAGACTCTGTCTCACTCTGTCATCCTGCGTAGAGTGCTATGGCATCATAGCTCACAGCAATCTCAAACTCCTGGGCTCAAGTGATCCTGTTGCCTCAGCCTCCCGAGCAGCTGGGACTGCAGGCGCCCACTACTATGCCCAGCTAGTTTTTCTATTTTTAATAGAAACAGGGTCTCACACTTGCTCAGGCTGGTCTGAACTCTTGAGCTCAAGGGACCTACCTGCCTCAGCCTCCCAGAGTGGTAGGATTACAGGTGTGAGCCACCTCACCTGGCCCCAAACTTATTTTGAAATGACCAGAAAGAGAAATGTCACTGTATTAAAGGGAGATTGGTTATGGGGTTAAGAACATCATTTTCCCCCAGATTCTTCCTACATTTATGACCTTTCCAAATTATTCACAATAATCTCCAATTGGGGGAAAGGGAGCTTTTAAAAGATTACATCACCAGCCTGAGCAAGAGCAAGACCCCATCTCTACTAAAAACAGCATTAAAAGGCTGGGCGTGGTGGCTCAGGCCTATAATCCCAGAACTCTGAGAGACTGAGGCAGGTGGATCAATTGAGCTCAAGAGTTCAAGACCAGCCTGAGCAAGAGTGAGACCCTGTTTCTACTAAATATAGAAAAACTAGCCAGGCATGATGGTGGGTACCTATAGTCCCAGCTACTCAGAAGGCTGAGGCAAGAAGATCACTTGAACCCAGGAATTAGAGGTTACTGTGAGCTATGATGCCACAGCACTCTACCCAGGGTGACAGAGTAAGATACCGTCTCCAAAAAAAAAAGATGGCAAGCAAAATGCACACTTGGGAAAGTTACCACCTCCCTTCTTCTGGGTGACAACAAAAGCAGAAACTTCTTGCCCCCGGGGCTTCTCAGTCATCCCAGAGGGTCCAGAAAAGGTTTTAAGCTCCTATAGAAATCAGTAGTTTTCCCAAAAAGGACCTCATGGAACTCTGCAGCTCTGGGGACAGGAGAGTCTATAAGGACAGCAGCAGAAAGAAGGAAGAAGTGTCTGCTGCACCCTGACGAGGGGTGGGCAGGCCCTGGGGCAGCTCTAGTATAGCTGGTTCTGGGAGACGTGGGGAGGGCCAGGAGGCCCAGGAAGGCCTAGGAGGCTCTATAACCACCCAGGATCACACAGTTGGCGTGTGGGGTCTGAAGTAGCCCTCCTGCTTGGCTGCTCCGATCTTGGCACCCACCGATGACACAGAAGATGCTCCTCTGAGGTCATCAGTAGGGTGAGGAACTATTTTCTGCCCAATATCCAAACTGAATCCAGGAGCCAGCCGTGACTCCTTCTCCCCTCCTGCCTCTCAAGCCAAAAGAGAGAGCATGACTCAGAATTGCCCATCCTCTCCCTGAGAAGACAGTCACAGACACATACACCAACATCTGCAGCCTGGTCCCAACAGCCATTGCCTTTTCCCAGCCCACTCCCTCCTTGTCCCCTCACAACTGACCAGCACTGCCCCCAGACAGGCCCATCAGGGCCTGCTGGCTATACATGCAAGGCCCTAGAATGGTTCCAGATGGCTGTATCTCTGCAGTCACCACCCCCATCCTTTGTGCCCCTGCCTCCTGCATCTTGGGGTACTGAACTGTACTCAGGATGCCTCTCTCAACCACCCTTCGTGAACAAATCCCAAGCCTGGTCACCTTTCTGTCCGCTGTGGCCATCCAGGCCTGGCCATATAGTCTCTGTGGATGGAACTGAGTTTTCTAGATGAGAAGACCACCAGGAGATGATATAGCTCAGAGACCCCAGGGAGGCTCCAAGCACAGCTGGGACACTCTGCCCCCCTCCATCAAAAGTTTTGGGGTTCTGGCTGCGTATAGTGGCTATACCTGTAATCCTAGCATCTGGAAGGCCCAGGCAGGTAGATCGCTTGAGCTCAGGAGTACGAAACCAGCCTGAGCAAGAACCAGATCCCATCTCTACTAAAAATAGAAAAAGTAGCCACACATTGTGACTGGTTGCCTATAGGCCAGCTACTCAGAAGGCTGAGGCAAGAGAATCACTTAAGCCCGAGAGTTTGAGGTTGCTGTGAGCTGTGACGCCAGAGCACTCTATCTAGTGTGACAGAGTGAGACTCTGTCTCAAAAAAGAAAAGAGTTTTGGGGGCTCTCAGTCTAGTAGTCTCTATCGCTTTTCCATTTTTTCAAGAAACTACACTAGGCTGGGTACAGTGGCTCACACCTAGGAGGCTAAGGTGGGTGGACCGTTTGAGTTCAAGACCAGCCTGAGCAAAAGCTAGACCCCAGCTCTACTGAAAGTAGAAAAAATTAGGCAGGCATGGTAGCAGTCACCTGTAATCCCAACTACTTGGGAGGCTGAGGCAGGAGGATGGTCTGAACCCAGAAATTTGAGGTTGCTGTGAATTAGGCTGACACTAGGGCAGTTTAGCCTGGGACAACAGAGTAAGACTCTGACTCAAAAAGAAGAAGAAGAAGTTACATTAACTTCTTCAAACCTTTGGAATCTATGACTGTCTGGGTACTCAGCACTGGGGAACTCTCCGCAAGAAGTGCCTAAACTTATGAAATGTTTATTTTTATTATTATTATTTTTTTTTTTTTTGCAGTTTTTGGCTGGGGCCAGGTTTGAACCTGCCACCTCCAGCATATGGGGTCAGCGTCCTACTCCTTTGAGCCACAGGCGCTGCCCTATGAAATGTTTTAGTTCTAGGAGAACTTAACATGGGAGCGGGGAGCACCTACCCACAGCTTCACTGTGTAGTCGTGGGAACCACTGAGGAGCTTTGTGTCATCCACACAGAAATGGCAGGAACTCACAATGTGCTGGTGTCCCCTCAGAACTTTAAATGGAATCTGAAAAAGATGGATAGATGAAATGAGTTCAACAAGATTGCAGAATACAAGGTTGATGTGCAAAAATCAAATTTTCTTGTGAACATTTGCAATGAACAACCTGAAAAAAATTAATCATTTCCACTTACAAAAGCATCAAAAAGAATAGGTAGGAGGTCAGGTGCAGTGGCTCACGCCTGTAATCCCAGAACTCCAGGAGGTTGAAGTGGATGGATTGCTTGAGCTCAGGAGTTCAAGACCAGCCTGAGCAAGAACAAGACCCCGTCTCTACCAAAAATAAAAAACTGAGTCAAGATCTCTTGAGCCCAAGAGGTTGAGGTTGCTATGTGCTATGACGCCATGGCAACAGAGGGAGATTCTGTCTCAAAAAAAAAAAAAAAAAGAATAGGCAGGAATGAATTGAATAAAGAAAATATAAAACTTACACTCTAAAAACTACAAAACGTTGTTGAAGGAAACTAATGAAGACTCAAATAAGTGGAGAGACATCCCATGTTCATAGATGGGCAGACTTAATAGTTAAATTACAATACTCTCCAAAACGATCTACCAAATTCAATACCATCACTCCAAAATCCAGGCTGACTTCTTTGTAGAAATTGACAAGCTAATCCTAAAACTTACGTGGAAATCCAGGTGGACTTGAATAGCCAGAACAATGCTGAAAACGGAAACCAAAGGTGGAGGATTCTCATTCCCTGATTTTGAAACTTTCCACAAAGTGACTGAACAAAACAGTGTAATAGTGGCATAAAGATAGACCTACAGTCAATGAAACAGAATGGAAAACCCAGAAAGGAACACTCACATTTATAGTCAACTAATTTTTTTTTTAAACAGAGTCTTGCTCTGTTGCCCACCCTTGGTAGAGTGCTGTCGCGTCACAGCTCACAGCAAGCTCAAACTCTTGGGCTCAAGCAATTCTCTTTCCTCAGCCTCCCCAGGAGCTGGGACTACAGGTGCCCTCCACAACACCTGGTCATTTTTTGGTTGCAGTTGTCATTGTTGTTTAGCAGGTCTGGGCTGGGCTCCAACTCACCACCTTCGGTATATGTGGCTGGTGCCCTACTCACCAAGCTACACTGCAGAGCCACTCAGTTAAATAGGAAGACAATAATCTTTCTTAATTTATTTTTTATTCTTTAATTTTTTGAGGTTGCTGTGAGCTGTGATGCCACAGCACTCTACCAAAGGTGACATAGTGATCCTCTTGTCTCAATAAGTATTGGCAAGGACATGGGAAAATCAGAACTCTCATACATTGCCAGTAGGCAGGTAAGATGGTACAGCCACTTGGAAAAATCGTTTGACAGTTTCTCAAAAAGCTAAACATGTGAATTAACATATGACCCAGCAATTTCACTCCTGAGCATATATCCCAGAGAAATGAAAGGTCTCATAAAAACTTGAACATATGGGCAGCGCCTATGGCTCAAAGGAGTAGGCGCTAGTCCCAAATGCCAGAGGTGACGGGTTCAAACCCAGCCCTGGCCGAAAAAAAACTTGAACATATGTACAGAATGTTTCTAGCAGTGTTATTAAGTGGAAACAACCCAAACTCATTCAACTAATGAATGAATAAATAATGTATGTCACAGGCATACAATGGGATGTTATTTGGCGATAAATAAAGAAGTAGCAGATGCCGCATCGCGTATGAACTCTGAAAATACTATGTGATCAAAAGAAGCCAGTGACAAAAGACGGGAAGTGGCTTGGTTCTAAGACCGAATAGAGGAGGCCAGAGCAGGCAAATCTACAGAGACAGGAAGAGTTGGCTCACAGGGAGACGGAGAGTGACTGCGACCCCGTATGGGGTTACTCAGGTGATGAAGTTGTTCTAAACTGTTTGTGGCAAGGGTTGCACAACTCTAAATACACTAAAACCATTCTATTGTACGCCCTGCAGGGCTGAATCTTACGGTGTGTGATAATATCCCCAGGTAAAAGGGAGGGGAACGGAGGGAACAAACATGAAATTATTCCTTTCCCCTTCCTTTCTCCACAGCGACGTGTTCAGGGGTGCTGAGACGCTGAGTTGTGGGGTCGGGGGAGGGGGGTGTGAAGAAACGTGGGCTGTGTCCAGGCAGTTGGGCTGCCATGAGGTCAGCAGGTGGCGAAAGGATACGGAGGTGGGGAGGCGGCGTGCGGGGTGCGGGTCAGGCGGAGAGGATACCCCCCTCCAAGGCGAGCGGGACGCGGGGTGCACAGGGGAGCAGCCTCGGCCGCCACGGGACCGGGGGACACGGGGAAGCAGGCTCGGCCGCCAGGGGTAGAAAGGCGAACATGGGTTGGCCCCTGGGGCGCTGCGAGCGCGTGGCGGGGCAGGAGCTGGGAGCAGCCACCGAGGAGCCGCCCCCCTCCCCCCCCACGCCCAGGATGTGACTCTCGCTCCCAAATCCCTGTTCTCGGTGGCCCCAGCCCCGCAGTCTCTTCTGCTGCCCGGGCCTGAAAGCAATGCCCTAGGCTTTGGTTTATTTCTCTCGTTACAAAAACGTTACTCCATCCTAGAAAAACAGATGGATGCGAGGAGGGGGACAATCCCGCTGCCCCCGCCGCGGGCCCTCCCAGAGACCTCCTTCCGGATTGGTTTCTGAGCGTAGGTTTGGGGTCCGTTCTGGACAGGGGTCCCAAGGGGCTGCGGAGCGAAGTTCCCAACATGCGGACACATTTCCGAAGGGCCAGTAAAACCCAAGCAGAGGATGGTTCAATTTGTGAAAAACAAAACTCGTTGGTTCTTGCCGTACATTTATTCAACAAGTAAATCTCGAGCGCCTCCCCACATTGGGACGGGGCCAGGAGCTGCGGCTCTGCAGCCACCAAGCCCCCAGCCGAGAGACAAGAGTCTTGGCAAGGACATAAGACCAGACACTCTGGTTTTGTTTGTTTGTTTTAATTTATGGAATTCTGAAGAGTCTTCCTTTTTTTTTTTTTTTGTTTGAGACAGAGTCTTACTCTGTTGATCTGGGTAGAGTGCCTTGGCGTCTTCATGGCCTCATTTACAGCAACCCCAAACTCTTGGGCTCAAGCTATCCTCTTGCCTCAGCCTCCTGAGTAGCTGAGACTACAGGCACCCACCAGTAGCCTGGCTGGATTTTCTATTTTTAGTAGAGATGAAGTCTTGCAATTGCTCAGGATGGTCTAGAACTCCTGAGCTCAAGCAGTCCACCTGCCTCTATCGCCCAGAGTGCTGGGATTACATGACTGTCTCTAAACCACTTTTTAAAATTTGAGTTCTTAATTCTGATTTTCCAGTCTTCGCTGGAGTGCTCCCTTGAGTAATTTTTTTCTTCTTTTTGAGACAGAGTCTCACTTTGCCACCCTCAGTAGAGTGCTCTGGCATCACAGCTCACAGCAACCTCCAACACTTGGGCTCAAGTGATTCTCTTGCCTCCACCTCCTGAGTAGCTGGGACTATAAGCACCTGTCAACAAGCCCTGGCTACTTTTTTAGAGGCAGGTCTCACTCTTGCTCAGGCTGGTCTCAACTCCTGAGCTCAAGTAGTCTACTGTGTTGGCATCCCAGAGCACTAGGATTACAGGCATGAGTCACTGAGCTTGGCCCTTGAGTAATTTATTCTTCAGAGAATCATTTTTTTTTTCTGAGTCTTTGCAGCACTGAAGAAAATGTCTTTCTGTAGCCTTTATGAGGGATCAGCAGTTTAGCCTAGTAGAAAATGCTAGGTCACAAACATTCCTCTTAGAACTCTGTAGAATTTCTCTGCCTGTCAGCCTAACGAATCATAAAAATCTCACACCAAAACCCATCAAAACCACTTTTATGGCCTTTCAGCTGGAGACACCACCTTTCAGGAATTCCCCAAAATGACAAACACAAAGGGAAAGAGGAGAGGCACCCAATACATGTTCTCTAGGACTTAGAAAACAGGGAGTTGTTCCTTTGGCCACATCTATGCGAATCTACAAGAAAGGTGATGATATTGTAGACATCAAGGGAACGGGTACTTCTCAGAAAAGCATGCCACACAGATGTTACCAAGGCAAAACTGGGAGGGTCTACATTGTCACCCAGCATGCTGTTGGCATTGTTGTAAACAAGCTGAAGGCAAGATTCTTGCCAAGAGGATTAATGTTCATACTGAGCATATTAAGCACTCTAAGAGCCGAGATAGCTTCCTGAAATGTGTGAAGAAAAATGATCAGAAGAAGAAGGAAGCCAAAGAGAAAGGTACCGGGGTTCAGCTGGAGTGCCAGCCTGCTCCACCCAGAGAAGCCCATTTTGTGAGAACCAACGGAAAGGAGCCTGAGCTCCTGGAACCCATTCCCTATGAATTCATGGCATAATAGGCATATAGCACAGCACAGGAGAGCCAGGAGAACCAGTGGAACAGGAGCATAGGGTGCTCCTGGAACCCATTTCTTATGAGTTCGTGGCAAAATAGGTGTGCCAAATAGCAAGCACACAGGAGAACCAAGAGACCCCGTGTAATGGCAATATAAGGTGCTGGAACCTATGCCCCATGACTTCGTGGCATAATAGTCACACAAAGCGTATTAGCAAGAAGAAAACGAGTGATCCCATCTCAGGGTGGGCAAGGGACTTGGAGAGAAATTTCTCTGAAGAAGATCGGCGCACGGCCTACAGATATATGAAAAAGTGCTCACCATCCTTAATCATCAGAGAAATGCAAATCAAAACTACTTTGAGATATCACC